CATTTTTGTTGAATATTTGATAAAATTGTCATAGCATGTAAGTTAACAAGAGAGCGACACGAGCCAAGAGAAAATTAGCACAAATAAAATGTAAAAGAGAGCGACAAGAGCCAGAAAATATATGCAATGAATGTAAACAAACAAAATGTATTGAAAGCGGCACGAAGCATCGTACTAGATTAGACAATTAAAACTGCGATAAAAATGAGCTATGAGCGCCGTGAAGCGGCAGGTAAAATTATTAATGAGCTATCAACGTCAAATCACCGGTGTTGAACTGTCACCTGCTCTCGTTCTTCTCACGCTAACCACCACAAAAGTCGGACGTGTGAAGCACATTTTGAAAAACGAGACCAGGTGATACCGTAAGTGATCGAATCGGCACAAAATCATTGTAGAAAAGATTTAGACTAATCTGACACAATTGTCAGTGGTTTTTGTATTACCCAATCAGCTTGAGCGATTATTGCCGATCGATAGACGTAAATCATCGAGCCGCCGAAGGAATTTTACCGAGTTAAATCGAAAAGCAAACCGAAGGCACGGACTACGGCCCAAGACAACAACAACGACAAAGGCTGGCGCCTAGCCAGGCAGCCACAGCAACGACGAGCAAATGAAGCAATCGACCGGCAGCAAAATAGCTAGATAAGTAGAATATACGCTCAAAGTCGCTCTCGTCCGCTAACTAATTCGAAAATAAAATTCAGAGTAAAATTAGGTTCATGTTCTTTGGTATAAATCATTTGTGTATGTCGTGTCGTGAGAGGTTGGTATGGTCATTTTTCCCAATACTACTTTTGAACTCAAACATTATGTTATTATTATACTGAATCTTAATAACGTTATTATTATGTTATGTTGGACCAATATATTGGCCGTTATTTTTATGTTATTAAGTATAGTTAATAATATGTTATTGCCTGTAAATCTGTAGTAATCCTTCTGCACTACAAGCTATGCGTAACTGCACCAATTCGCAAAATTAACAAATAATAAATTATTTGAACACACCCGAATGCATTTCGAACTGTGAACACATTTTGATGGTCGAGCCAAAAAAAGGCCACTCGACATAGCCAAAGCTATGCCGAGTGGCCTTTTCTTTTGCTCTCTCTCTGCTTCATTATTCCCTTTTGACTTACTCCAATTTTTGTTTAGTTTATAATAATAATAAATGAACTATGTTCCGAACTTAGACTAAGATACATTATATACTTAATAGCTAGAGCATATTGAGGCCTTAAAAAACAATCGAATGAAAAATTGTCGTTGTTCTTTCCATACCAAATAACTGAATAAATCCAACAGATTGTAAATGATTTCTTTTATATTTATGATTGAATTAGTGCGAAAGAGACCGAACAAAATCGTAAGTATGGCACATCGTTGGAAAGGTATTGATTCTTAGATTATAATTCTGGGCCAAATGGCATTAATTGCAATCATTGAAATGTAAGTAAACGTGATAGAAAGTGAAAAAACTTGCTGAGATCTAACTATAGGGTTTTTTGCGAATTTTCATCATTTTACTTCAAAACTACGCTCCATGGTGGAAAAAACCAATAGAAACTAGGCTATATGCCATTAGAAACTAGAAACCAGTCGCTATATTTTAGAAACAACAACACCTATGCTGATGCCTTGCAAATATTTAAAAATGGTTCCATACTTGCAGAGGCATAATTTTTCTGGATTTTTTCATTTTCCTACCTCGATTTGAAGCAGAAATGAGTGTTTGATCAAATTGAAATGTTCTACACGTAAGTAGGATTTTTCGTGAGCTCTCCGAATATAATAGTGGTTTGGAGTTAAAAGTGGGTTTCTGTCCTCTTTTTGTACTAAAATAGTTATTTTCGGGAAAAAATCGATTTTTTAAGCCTCACCTGTCTCTCCAGAGGTAACAGCGACCCCAACCAATGGTGTCTTTTGATTCGTTGGAGCTTGCTAAGCATTCCACCTGAACACATCAACATCGTCAGACCACTTATTCTGTGTGAAAAAATATTATATAGTCAAAAATCCCTGAAAAAATCGGTACAGGTGAACTTGCCAATTGACTTTTATGAGTTATCTTCTGCAGGGAACAAGTAATTTTATTTTTTCTATGGATGCGGGAGAACATAAGCTTACTTTTAAGCAAATAAAAAATGGGTCTCAGACCCCCCGTGGTTTGACCATATTTCACTTTTTCTACTTTGATTCGAATTCTAAAGCACTGGGAGGGTACCTAGGGGGTCGGGAATGATATAGGGAGGTAGCCCCATCGATTATCTATCCAACCATATATATATGTCTGCGAGTTAAATCGGCCATTTAGAAGAAATATTCGTCGGCGCAAGTCACTTTTTTCGATTTTTGACGATTTTCACAAAAATTGTCGACTCTTTTTTTTACCACCTGTAAGACAGATCGGCCCCATATTTTGGCTTTCTTAGTTTTTCATCAAACCCAGCGCACATGCAAAGTTTGAACGGATTCTGAGAGGTCACGTCCAATTTTTGTCCGATTTCACGTGGAATGGACGATATATAAAAAAGATGAAGAAAGTTTTACGCGAACACAAATAGCTTCAATGGGTTTTAGTTCGGGAATGTCAATTAGTTCGCTGTCATATTTTTTGTTAATTGCTATAAGGACTCCTCCGCCCCTATTTGCTTCAATGTCAGAATGCTTTCTGTCCTTTCTGAATGTGTTGTATTTTTTATCCATGAACTCTTCATTTTTATGTGATGGATGCAGCCATGTTTCGTTGAGTGAAATGCAGTCATATTCGAGCGAGTTTGTAGATAGTAGGATTGGAGTCTTTTTGTTCATCACCGGGCGAGGGTTTTCGAGGTAAATTGTGAAGTGGTTTAGAGCATAGCTCAATAAATTCGTAGAAATATCATCCAATAGTTGAGGTGGGTCGTCTTTGAGGGATGAATCGCGCTCACTGATATCGATCAAGTGGCTCCTCTCCGTGTCAGGCCGTTCGCTAAAAAATTCTCAAAGGATGCGACCGATTTTTTCTTTTGTACCGTTAATCGACTGGGTTTTGGTACAAACTCTTTTATTTTACAGTCAATTGGCCAAAAATCCTCGTTTTTGATGACATGGTAAATCGCCTCACTTGTACCAATTTTGAAGGAGATAAATGTTAGTAGTGTCAGATCAACATTATCCTTAACTAATTTTGTCAGTTTGATATCATCCGTGCTCAATATTCCCTTTTGTTTGACATAATTAAGGATACCGGTCGCCTCAATAGTTGTCGGTAGATTAGATAGGTGCAGCGGGCGATTGATCGGATTTAACGCCGGTTTATTGCTTTTTTGTGTACCATCGTTTGTCTCAACTGCATTGGTATTCTTTGTTTGTGCGCTTCGTGTGATATTTGGTGGGGTTGTAGCTGAGTCGATTATACTATTGCTCAAGTCGTGAATCGATTCGATTTCAATCGAACTAAGGCTTGTGTCAGAGTTGTCAAGATCCAGGCTTTCCATTGCATGGAGAGCCATTGATTCATTGTCATTTTCGGAGTTTTCTAAACCAATTCCAGGCTCGGTACCTGATGGACTGGGCTTTTGCCTCTTTTGCTCTCCCGAATTAAGCGTTTCTGGAACAAATTGATTATGATCGGTTTGGGACATTGCCTCTTTATTTAGCTTATCCATGGTACCGAGATTCCCGGTGGATAGATTTATAATGAAATGATTTGAGTTGTCTGATTTCTCCATAGAATCCAATTCTTTTGTAGCGTTGTTTCCTATGACTGTTTCGTTGAGTAGATCGTCGTTGTTTTGGCTGCGTGAGTCGTTAGCTGTTTTGCGAATAGCTTCAACTAATGGGGAAATCCGGTTGACTTCACGAACAGTTGTATTCAGCATTTCATTTTCGATTCTGCTCGAGTGTATTAATTCCTCTAGCTTTCCCGTATGGTCGTTTAACTTTTTTAGAATCAAATCAAGGGTAAACCAGGTGCTTTCGTCTGAATTTTTTAATATTTTCAGCACATCATCATCCACCGATTGCTTGACTAATAGTGATGGGCGACCAGCCGCTTCAATAGAAGCATTGTTAGAGGGGTCAAGCATGGACCAATCGAGTAGATTCGGTTGTTTCTGTGGTGTGTTGAACGCTGTGGGATTTATTCGCGGATGCTTGCAACTTCCTGAGAAGTCTTTAGTTTTACCGGAAATCAAATTGGTTAGAGCAGTCATACTTTCCGCCTCATTGTCAGAGGAATGCAGTTTATCAACTTTGTCCGATAGTTTTAAAATTGATTTATAGATATTCACTATTTTGAGATCTTGTTCGTTGGAGGGATTTTCGGTTTGAGGTGTTGCTGAGGTTTGTGGTGTTGCTGTTATCAGTGGAGCGATTATCTGTGGCGCTGTTATCATGGACAGCTTGTCCAGTACTTGCTTAAGTAGGTTTGAGTAGGGCTTCAAAACGTTTCGCAAATTAACGCATCAACGATGAAATAACGTTATTTTCAACGCATCTGAACGACACGTTGCGTTTGACAGCTGACACATACCGAGCGGGAAATAAACGTTTTTTTATCGTTTCTGCGCGTAGTTGTCAAAGCACATTCGGAATTTCATCACCATCAGTGTTGTTTGCAGTATTGTTAGCGGCATTAATTTGGCAATAAATATTTTTGTGTTGAATCTTCGCATTGAAAAGAATCAATATGTTTTTCGCTGTTATTCTTACCGAAAGTCGCACATTACTGACAATTCCGGCTCAGTGGTGCTACAGAATTGATATTGTTCGCAATTACACTTCGGGTTTGCGCCAATGGAAGGATAAAATAATTTTTTATTCGCCAAATGAAGCAACGGATCCAGATTTTCGGCTGGGCATCGAAAACGAATTTGATCCCGAAAAAGATGCCTGTTACATGGCGAATGTGTTGGGTACATTTTTTACGGCTGAAGATGCTGATACGTACCTCAGAAAACGTCGTCACGTTTTACCAAAGATTTATGCCGAAGGTCGAATTTCACACGAGTTGATGATCCATTAATTCAACAAGTCAAACAAGAAATGGGCGATGATGATGAACATGGTGGTATCAATTCCAATTTTGATGGTGAATTGGTCGATTTGGCATTAAATGATACTTTTGAAGGTAAGGTAAACTCAAAATTGATAGTGGAATCTATTGAAAACAAAACGAAATTACAGAACTTGAACAATTGGACTTGGATATTGAAGCAGCAAATGGGGATGAAATCGAAAACAATGTGAATGGTGAAAAAACACTAGAAGAATCTGATGAAACAGACGCACATGACTCAGATTTGCCTGTCAATGAAGCGGAATATGAGAAAGAAGTCGGAAACAACGGTGAAGATTCAACAATTGAATTAGATGAAACAAACGCACGTGAACTAGATTTGGCTGTCAATCAATCGGTAAATGAGGAAGAAATCGTAAACAATTTGAACGGGGAAGATCAAGCCAATGATCAATATGTTGTTGCCAGTGTAAAGGTGTCAACGAACACCGACTCTGTTCGTTCGTTCGTTCGTGGGCGCTTCAAAAATTGACGAACGTTCG